ACCGATCAAGCCGATGCTCGCATGCTCGGAGACGGGCGCTTTGTGCCTCCACCTCGCTTTCCAGACGTGCGAGATAACTCTCAACACGTACCTTCTCAGTATCTCTTTCATGAATAACCTGGGAGAGCTCTAACTGCGTGTGGTCCGCCGCCTTCTCAACCTCCTGCAACCTGTCAGTGAGGCGGGCGAAATCGTAAACCGTGGGAGGAGAATCCAGCTGATCAGTCTGGGCTCGTCCGACACGCAACTCTGCCAGGGCGTCCTGTACACCAGGGAAACGCTGCTCTATGTCAGAGATCCGGTTAGCGAGTGGCTGCACGACAGCGTTGGTCGCATCAAGCCTTTGAGTGATGACTCTCTCAGTACGCTGCAACATGTCGATCAGGTTCGACGAGTTTGTGTGTGCTTCGGTACGAAGCGTCGCCGTAGTGTGGTCTAGGTAAGATCGAAGATCATTGATCTGAGACTGAACGTCGCCGAGGTCTGTGGCCTCGGTTGGGGTTGGTCGGTTACGGAGCTGGTCGTGGATCTCATCGTGTAAAATCCTGACCGCAGAAATGCCTGTGTCGCGTACGATCACAAGTTGTTGCTCCATCTGCGCGAGATAGTTGCGCAGGTTCTCGACCATCGCCGTTCGTTCACCTGAGTGTGACACCTCACGATCAACCTGGTACTGCAGTTCTCCTATGATGCGTCTATCTTCGGCGATCCTGGAATCGATGATCCCTAAGGCGCCGTCAAGATCGCGGCGTATGGCTGCAGTATCCGTGGCATTCGTCTGAACGCTCTGTAGTAGTCCAGAGTATTGGCTGGGCACGAAGGTTTCAACCTGGTCTCTGAGCTCAGCTATGTCACCTGCGGCGGACGTCTCCGCCAGCTGGTCGTCTGAGATGGAGAGGTGGGGAGCGTCAGCTTCCCTGTGTCCCCTGTCGCGGGGAGTGCATGGCCTCTGAGAGGCAGTGCGCGGGCTCGACCTGCTCTCGCCGTATGGGCCTGGGGCTCCACGGCGGTTGCGCGCGGACGAGCTGCGACTCGGACCATGTGTGTGTGATGTCTCATCCGATGATACCTTGGGGTACCGCGTCTGTGGCTGTGCCGACACTGGTCTACTGAGTTCCTCGAAGGTAGCTACGTGCTCCGCCACAGGGACGGTCGCAGGGCTGGGGGTTCCAGCACCTGAGGTCCATCGGCGGTTAGCGCGGAAGCGCCCTGGAGTATCGAGACCGGTAAGGCTTTCGCCTGACGCGGTTGGGATTGCTCCCGACGGGGAAGGGGAGGGAGGATCAAAGGTCGGCGTGTGAAACTCCTTCCTTCCTGTTCCTACTCCTTCTCCTGTCCCCCCGCGGGCGGCGCTGCGGCGAAGTTCAGCAGCTAGACGCGCCTCGGGTCCTCAGGAGCTGGGGGGGGGGTATCGGGGACACCAACACAGTCCGCACTAATGCTCTCCAACTCGTCACCGAGCCGTCGCACCGTGGGAGAGCTTGGACGCGAAGCCCCAATGGAACCCTTACGGCGCATGCGCCGAAGCGGCTCCATTGGGCTCGCATGCAAGGTCACCGCGGGCGAGTCGGTGAAGGTGAGCGTTAAAGGGCTGATAACCTGTGTATGGGGTTGAAGTACAAGAGTACAGAACCCCTGATCCGTTGGTAGAGAGATGGAGGGATAGATGGATATCTTTCCCTCCCAAGCGATCAAGGTACGATCGCTCCAACTCAGTACCTGAGCCCAAACGGCCAGGTGCGGGAGAGGTAAGGATAAGGAGTATATATGAGGGTATTACACGGGTTCCATACACACACAGTGGCCCATATTTGCCGCAAAACGATCCTAAGACGGCCCAAAGAGGTCCCAAACATTGCCCTAAAATGGTCTCAGAGGGCCACAAGATAGCCCAAGTGCCCCGAGCAAGTCCTCAAGAAGGCCCAACCAGCTCGAATAGAGCCCCAGAGACACCCCCAAGACGGCCCTGGAGGGCTGGTCTCCAGTGTTTCCCCAAGTGGTTTCCCTAACAGCTGGGGGAACACGCAGTCCACTAGCGTGGCTCACTTTCGCTGGACATTTCACGACACAGGCGTGTCCAGAAGGCAGGGGGCGGCGGTGACTCGCCGTATGGCGGATTCGATCTTCCAGCCGCCCTGGGACATGCGCGCCTAATTGGGGCATTGGAAACTAGCATTGGAAACTAGCTAGCATGAGGTTAAGTTTCGATGCGGTGCACATCCTAATAACACCGGTATGTCACCTACGATCCGAGTACGTACCCTCGGCCCACATTCCTTCAATAGGACGCCCTACCGCCGGAGAGCACCCCCCACGCATGGAGCTAGTTACACGCCAAAACACCTACATGCAGATCGTCGTGCGCAGAACTAAACACGCGCAACTAGTTTGTGTCGAGCTAGCACCACAAAACAAATTCCACACCGAACCTGCCGAATCTGATCCAGCCTGGCATCACAGAAAATCAATACACGCAGAATTCTGCACCCACCATGACGGTTTCAGATACCGCGGCCATTCGCAAATCGCCACAAGAAAGGGAACATAGAGGGAGCCAGGGAAGGGGAGTTCTGAAGTAGGGAGGAGGAAAGAGAGGACGAGGGCGACGACGCCTCCCTGCATTCTGTTGTGGGATGGGCTTGAGAGGAGGAGGAGGAGGAGAAGGAGGAGGAAGAGGAGGAGGAAAAGGCAGAGGAGGAGAAGGCGGAGGCGGAGGCGGAGGCGGAGGAGGAGGAGGAGGCGGAGGCGGAGGAGGAGATGAAATGAAGAGGAGGAGGAAGGGGTGGAGGAGGAGGAGGAGGAAGAGGAGGAGCAGGAGGAGGAGGTGGACGAGGAGGAGGCGGAGGAGGAGGGGCAGGAGGAAGAGGAGGAGGAGGAAGAGGAAGAGGAGTAGGAGGAGGGGGAGTAGGAGGAGGAGGAGGAGGAGGAGGAGGAGGAGGGGGAGGAGGAGGAGGAGGAGGAGGAGGAGGGAGAGATGGTATTCATTGCGGGCGCTCGGTTGCTTCCTTTGCGCACTCGGAACGCGACAACAGGTCACTGCTGTCCTAACCCTCGGTGGGGGCAATCGCAGAGAATAGGCGAGGATGCTTGGATTTTAGGATGGAGGTGGTGGTGTGGAGGAGGACAATCTCATACCATGCATATCGACCGTTGCGAACGTGTTGACCTTCGGCCTCTGCACCGTTTCAATCCAGCTCGACGGGCATCGGTACATTGGCCCGAATCGAGCTCAAGGCAAAAACACTTAGGCCCTGTGCACTCTATGCCTTCGGTGACGGCCACGCATGCTCTTTGAGAAGGTCGGGTAGATTGCGGATGTGGAGGAAGATGATGGGCGAATCGACCGCTGCGAGCGTGTTGACGACCGCCAGAACTAAATTTCAAGCATGCCGTCAATGGGCAGCTGGGGTTCGCGGTAAACCCGGAAATACATATCGAAAACGCAAGGAGGTCCCGAGGCCGAGGAGGTTTAGGATGAATCGCACAAGCCCTGGGTAGCCCTTAGTTTCTATTTCAGTTATGTTCGCAGCAAGCTCGCACCTGTAATACTTGCAGATTAGCGTTGCAGCTGAGCATCGTATCATAGGCTCTGGAGCAGACCCTTGGTGCGGGTTCTTGTGTATTGGGTGGGTGAATCATGGTTTTGATGTGCGGAGGGTGAGTCAAGTCCTCGACACTGTGCTTACTCTGGATTGTTACTCTACTGATCCAACTTCTCTCGCCTGTTCCGCGTTCGTTTCAACACTACTGCCGCGCTTCACGTTCTTTTTCTCTTGCACTCGTCCTCTCGGGATTTCTTTTGGCACCCGTCTCTATAAGAGTTCGAGTCGCTGAGGGACGCAACAGCTTCAAGCTAATGTTGGGCCAATGTCACAGAAGGAGGAGGCGGGGAGACGCGGTCCTCGGGGGCCAGTCAGACCAACAACATCTAATTGTGTGACTTTGACCCCCCCTTTGAAGAGGCCGAAGGACACACAAATAAGTCGACACACATCCGAAGATCCCCTATGTTCGTTAACTTTTCTTGACTTTCGTCTTCCCCCCACTTCCCATGTTTTCTCATCATACTTTCCAGGAGTTCGACGATTCATTGTGCCTGTGTTTCTGTCGCCCTCCTGACTTTTCCCAATGCCCCTCTTTCGTGCGACCCGAGCCCCCTCAGCGGAAAACATCATGCTGTGCTGCGTTTCGTCGGTCGCCTGGTGCAGTAGGCAGTGCACGACTCAAGAAGTGTCCTTCTTCGCTCAGCGCAACAATCAAGGAAACACAAGGTCGTTGCCGAGTGTGTCATCGTTTTGCTTGGAACGCCCCCGAAGGCACTTCCTCGCAACTTGGAGTGGCCCTTGCGCCTGCAAGGGTCGCGCGCTCCCGACGGGAGACAAAACTCTCCCCCACACGCGCGCTCCGCTTCGCCCTGCGCGCACGAAAGCGGATGCTGTCCCGCCCCGCGCGAAAGGGGTGGTGGGAGGGGGGCGCTCCCGACGCTCGACGCCCAACGCGCGCCCGGGAACGCAGGTCACGCTCGTGCGCGTGCGACGCCCGCGCCACGCGCCGCGCGCGGGAGCGCACGTGTGCGCGCGACGGCGCGCATGCGTGCGTGCGCCCGCGTGCGCGCGCCTGGAAGCGCACGCCCGGAGGAGGAGGAGGAGCAGGAGGAGGAGGAGACAGGAGGAGGAGGAGGAGGAGGAGGAGGAGGAGGAGGAGGAGGAGGAAGAGGAGGAGGAGGAGGAGGAGGAGAGGAGGAGGAGGAGGAGGAGGAGGAGGAGGGAGAGGAGGAGGAACAGGAGGAGGAGGAGGATGAGGAGGAGGAGGAGGAGGAGGAGGAGGAGGAGCAGGAGGAGGAGGAGGGAGGAGGAGGAGGAGGAGGGGAGGAGGAGGGAGGAGGAGGAGAGGAGGAGGGAGGAGGAGGAGGGAGGAGGAGGAGGGGGAGGAGGAGGAGGAGCGTTCCTGCGCGTGGGACGCGCCGGCGTGCGGGGAGCACCCCCTCGCGGAGCGGCCGCCTCGCGGCCCCGCGCGCTGCGCTCCGGCGCCGCCGCGCTGTTGCCCGCGCCGGCCGCTGGTTGAAACCCTCGGGGGGGCTGGCGGCGTGCACGGGCGCCCGCCCACGTCGCCGCCGCCCTAGCTGGCGCCACCGACGCCCGGCCCGTACCCACCGCAAGCGTCGCCGTCGGCGGCGTCGGTGCCGGCGCGGCCATTGTCGCCGTGGTCGTGGTCGTGGTCGTTCTCGCCTGCGTCGTCGCACCTTGCGCCGTCCCTCCTCCTCCTCTTCCTCCTCCTCCTCCTCCACTTCCTCGTCATCCTCCTTGCTCCTCCTCGCTGTTTCGTACTGCCTCCTTCCCCTCCTCCTGTCGTGCTGCCTCAGTTCCCTCCTCCTGCACAGCTTTTCCCTTCAGCCATCAACGTGTCCATCTCTGCCGTCCCAGAACACGGCAAAGCGTGGCAAGCTATCGCGCGCACGCGCTTCATTCACCGAAGCGGCGCCAAGCTGCACCTTGAAACGAACGTTGTCAGTGCAACGCTGCCCCAAAGACCTGCGACCGCGGCCGCAATAGTCGTTGTCTTCGTCGCCGTCATCAGAATCGTGACTCAGGCGTGCTCGGGCGGCAGTCCTCGAGCACCTCTGGGCAGCGGTCTCTGGATCACTGCATTGCCGTTCCTTTTCCTGCGCTGATGGCACATTCGCAGGCAGATGCGCGTCTGTTCTTTTCATGCGCCCGAAAGTAAAAATGCCTCCTCCTCCTCCCTCTCCTCCTACACTCGGCCCGTATCATAAGGATCCTCGATAAGGATGTAAGGGCCTTGGACGCTCGTTTGGAAACTTTTCGGGTGGGGAACGGCCAACGACACTGGCCAAGGATGGACCGAGGAAGCAAGGATGCAAGGGCACCCTTGGGAAAATTGCCCATACTGACCATGCGGGTTGACTGCCCCATCGGTGGAAGTGGAAGACTGGCGAATGAATAATCCCGCCGCGGCGGGCGCCCGTTTCAAGGCGGCCGGGCGTCTCTGTGCTTCATTGCTCCCGTCTTTTGGGGCCAGAACGCTCCTGCCACCTTTGGACGGAGGTGCCCTCCGCGATGGGCGACTTACACCTTTGATGCATGACTTTCTTCTTTCGATGCCAACAGCTCGGGAGAGGTGGGGGGAGGAAAAGGGGGCAAACATACTGTCGGACCCAGGACCAACAAAAACATCTGTCAAACGCATGAGACCCCCCGCCGGCCAACCCAAGGAACATTCGAAAATGCCCTCCCCCAGGATGCACAAAAATATCCAACAAACACGAAGGGCAGGAGGATGCCCTCCCCAAACCGACCTCGATCTTATACCTCGGTCCGACCATGTGAAGAAATTCCCGGAATCCTTCTCCCTCCCCCTTCCATCCGCTTCCTTTGTTTCAGGGGCCGCGCCAATTACGCGCGGCAGATAAAGAATCTGTGCCCCACGAGGGCACGATCGAAAACGCAGAGGGCGGGCGCCGAGGGTTTGGGACACACGTGTTGAATGGCACGCGAACAGGTAAGGGCCAACTGTCTTAATATGACAGTTGTTGTTGTTGCTGATGTTGTCGTTGTTGTTGTTGTTGTGGTTGTTGTTGGTGATGTAGGTGTTGGTGCTGTTCTCGTTGTCGTTGTTGAACCTGGATTACTCAACAAGTATTGCCGCTGGGCACCCTGAGTGCGCTTTCGCGCTCTCGCCGAAGCGCCGGCTGCGCTTCCTTTGCAAATTAAGCTCGCGCTCAAGCGTTTCGGGGTTCCGCCAAAACCCGCCCCCAACGACAACGACGCTCCGGCTCGAGACTTCCCCCATTTTCACTCGGGGCCCCCCAAACCGCTTTTTCGACAAGATCGGCGCTCCCGCTTGATGCCTCCCTGCTTTCCACCTCAGGACCGGCGCTCCCGCCTCGGGATCCCCTGCAGACAACGACGCTCCCGTTCGATACTTTCTCTGCTGTTGCTCAAGATTCCCAGGAGGACCTGAGGCTTCCCTAATCCCTTTTGAACCTTCACTGTTAAACGCTGATTATTGTTGGACGCCCTGAATGCGCTTTCGCGTTCTCGCGCCTGCTCCGCGCGACCTGGCTCTCGCTCGTATCCTGGGGCGTGGCGTCGTCGTTGTCGTCGCCGCCGCCGCCGTCGTCGTCGTCGTCGTCGTCGTCGCCAAACAATTAATTGTTATTGTTGGACACCCTGAGTGCGCTTTCGCGCTCTCGTCCCTGCTCCGCGCGACCTGGCTCTCGCTCGTGTCGTGGGGCGTGGCTTGTCGCCGTCGTCGCCGCCGCCGCAGCCGCCGTCGTCGTCGTCGTCGTCGTGCTCTGGATGCCGTCGGAGGCCTCCCTGAACTCCTGGAAACACCTAGGGCCAGGGAGATTTCTTGGAGGAGGAGGAGGAGGAGGAGGCGGACGACGACGATGACGACGACGACCAGCCAAAGCGCCATTCAAAAACGGCCGACGCACAAGCGGTTCCTAGGAAGGGGCCGCAAGCCTAGGGGCCTAAGCTCGGACACTTCTCTCAGAGGCTCAGGGGGCTCTCCCAAAGGTTGTGAGGCATTTCCCTGAGGTCTTAAGTCGCTCAGGCGTCGTGATACCTAGAAGCAAAGCCTGGGCATAGGGATTGCGACGGCGATGTGCAATCCATGTTGGAGATGTTCAAGTGCCTCGGAAGAAGTGTTGTCAAGACCTCCTCGGGCGGGAGAGCAGGGAGAGGGAATGCCGGACCCTCGTGTACAAGAAATCCCCCGTCAGGGGGGACCTATCATGATGGATGTATGCTGCACATGCAAGCATCGAGCATTCGGGTCAACTGATTAGTGTTGTTGCTGCTGCTGCAGTTGCTGTTGTTCTGTTGATATGGTTATTGTTCTTGATATTATTGTTACTCTTGTTGTTTTTGTTTGGGTTATTGCTGTTGTTGTTTTTGCTGCTGTTTTTGCAATTGTTGTTGTTGTTGTTGTTGCTTTTGTGGCTGTTGTTGTTCTTGGCTTTTCATCCCGGAACACTCTTTGACGGTCCCAGAGCCCAGTGAGGGCCCTCCCAGAAACCGAAAATCACCCAAACCATCCCATCGAGATTCTGTCAACGACGCCGGGAGGTCTGGGATGGGCCCGCTGCGGACTGCGGCGGCGCCGCCTTGGCTGCTGCGCCGCCGTCGCGCCCCGCGCGCAGCCCGGGTTGCACAGGGCCGAGTCCTGTCTTCGGGGGCGGCTGGGGTCCTACTCCACCTCCACCTCCTCCTCTTCCTCCTCCCCCTCCTCCTCCTCCTCCTCCTCCTCCTCCTCCTCCTTTGTTCACCTCCTCCTTTCGCCTCCACCACCTCCTTCTCCTCCTCCTCCTCCTCCTCCTCCTCCTCCTCCTTCTCCTTCTCTTCCTCGTCCTCGTCCTCGTCCTCCTCCTCCTCCTCCTCCTTCTCCTCTTCCTCCTCCACTTCCTCCTCCTCCTCCTCCTCCGCCTCCTCCCTCCTCCCTCCTTCCTGAAAGCGGGGGCGTCAAGAAGCTCTGCTTGGCGGCGCGCACAGGGTCGGGGATGGCGAGAGGGGGGTGGCCCTCTCAGAGGGCAGGGGGCTTCGCAGAGGGGGTTGGGAGCTTCTGTAAGGTCCCCAGGGCATCTGTGAAAAATCCCTTGGCTTCTCAAGAGGCCCAAGGCGAAGCCAGGACGAGGATAACATCGGGTGAGAATAGTCGATCGAGAATCGTTGAGATCCAGAGGCTCTGGAGGATGTCTCGGGCGCCGCAACCTTCTCGGAGCTTTCCGGCACGCTCTGAGAGCGTTCCGGAACGCCCTGGAACGGATATATCCTCGTCCTAGCCCCGTCCGAAGGCCCCTTCTTCGCCCCCTCCACCCCTGTGCGCGCGGCTGGTGTATGTGTTCGACCGTGGACCTCATCGGCCTTCGGCGGTCTTCGGCGACCGAACGGAGACGACGACGGCGACCGCACGACGACGGCGACCGCAACGGCGGATTCGGTGGCGTGGCAGAGGCGGTCTGCGGTGGTCTCTGGCGGGCCCCTGCGGCCAGCGGCATGAAAGCCAGAAGGCTGCGTGTCACCAAATCGGGTCCATGATCGAGTGCCCAAGCTGGAAGCACACGTGGCCAGACTCACGTGCGAACGTGCGGAGGGCACGCGCTGGATTCACGCGCCGAGGATCAGCGTGCCTGGTCATGCGAGGGCCGAGCGCTGGAGGGGCATGCGGCGCATCCTGGCACACGGAGGCCAAGTCCTCTTCGCACGGCACAGTGCGGGCAACATCCCTACCGAGGCCTAGACCGCCGGGCATTGCGAATCAAGACGCGAGAACGCGCTGTTTCTCGGTTTGGGCCTCCGGGAGCTGCCTTCCAGGTCCCGGGGCCGTCAAAGAGCGGCCCGCGACGACAAAACTGCCCATGAAGATGGGGCCGAGAACACTCGGGGCCCATGTGCACCGACACAACGCGTCGGACATCTGGTCAGGTGCCGCTGGAGTGGAAGTATGTGTGAAGGTGGTGGAGTCGGGGGGGCCAGGGATGCAGGGGGAGGAGAAGAGTCCCCCCTCCCTCTCCCCCGTCCCCCCCCTGACCCTCCCGTTCGCCCTCCCTTCACCTCCCCTCCCCGTCTCCCCAAGCCTATCCACTCCCAAGCCTATCCGTTCCCACTCCCCTCCACCTGTTATGCATCCCCCACGCCTTCCTCCCATCTCTCTTCCTTCACTTTGCTCGTGGCAATATCGCCATGCGAAAAGCTATGCGTATCCTTAGCCGAAGGGCTCCTCGATCGCGAATCGCAGATGGCGGCTGTGCGATACGATCTGCAATCAAAAGCCTCCTCGCCTTCCATCCGTTTATGTCCCCGTTCCTCCTCTATCCTTTCCAGGCCTCCCCTGCCCTCAGCCCCAGCTCCTCTCCGCCTACAACTGCACCTTCTCCCCCCCCTTCCCCATCCCCCTTCCCCCCACCCTAGCAATCTTCTCCCCATTCTCTCCCCTCCGTATTTGTTGGAGGAGGAAGAGGACGAGGAGGAGGAGAGGGAGGAGCTGGAAAAGGAAGAGGATGAAGAGGAGGGGCAGGAGGAGGAGGAGGAGGAGGAGGAGGAGGAGGAGGAGGAGGAAGAGGAAGACGAGGACGAAGAAAAGAAGGGGGAAATGGGCTGATCAGGGATAGAAGTAGCCGGACAAGGAGTCTCTGGCGATATCTGGTGACAGGACTGGTAATCAACGAAGTGGGAGGCAACCGATGTGGTGGTGACTTTGGCCGGGAGCAATAGGGGACAGAGCTGATCGAAGGACATCGGCGACGGCCAGGGCACGGGACCCATTCTGGTAGAAGGCTGAAACAAAGAGCTGGGTGACAGCCAAGACACCGTACCAAGCCGAAGGAGCAGGGAGGATGAGTAAGAGAAACGAGGAGGAAGAGGAGGCGGAGGAGGAGGATGAGGAGAAGGACGAGAAGGAGGAGGAGGAGGCGGAGCGTGCACCAAGGAGGAGGAGGAGGAGGAGGAGGAGGAGGAGGAGGAGGATGAAGAACCATGAGGAGGAATACGAGACAGGAAGGAAGGAGTCGAAGGAGGGCAGAGAGGAGGTAGATGACAACTACGACCGATGACGGCTACGGCGACGACCTTGACGACGACGACGGCGACGACGACAGCGGCGGCTCCCCCCGATCCGCGCTCCTGTGCGCACCAGCCCTCGAATCGCACGAGGGACAGGCGGAGGGACCTCGCCGCAGGTTGGCGGGAGCCGACGAGTCGACCAAGATCGAGGCCTCCTTCCTCCTGCTCGACCTCATCGCTCCTCCTCTCCCCTCTCCCTTCTCCCCCTCCTCGTCCCTCTCCCTCGTCCCTCCTCCTCATCCCTCCTCCTTCTTCCCTCCTCCCTCTCCTCCTTCTCCTCATCCCTCCTCCTCCTCCTCGTCCTTCCTTATCCTCGCCTCCGTACATACTGTTCCTCTCCTTCCTGATGTCCTTCCTCCTCCCTACCTATCCTTCCTCCCAATCTTCCCCCCTCATCCCTGCTCCTCATACTCCTGTTGGTCCTCCACCTCCTCCTCCTCCTCTCTGCCCCTCCCCCCTTCCTCTTCTTCTTCCTCCTCCTTCTCCTCCTCTTCCTCCTCTTCCTTCTCCTCTGTCTGCATGCGACGCCTGGGGGGGCCGTGCTCTAAGACAACTGTCGTATCTCTCTCTCTTCGTATCCCTCTCTCTCTATCTCTATTTCTCTACCTCTTTGTCTCTCTCTCTCTCTCTCTCCCTCTCTCTCTCTCTCTTCTTTTTCCTCTTCCTGCATCCCTGTTCCTGATGAACAACTCCTCATTCTCGCACCCCCATGCGTATTAGTATGGCGGACCAAGCGTTTCACCTGGCACTTCCTCACCATGTATGATCATGAAGCTTGAAACTTGCAACACTTTCACGGATGGATGTCGGCTCGTTTTCAAAACGTGGCTATCGCCTTCGCGCCGCGCACATTCGTCTTACAGGTTTGCAGCAGCTTCTCGGATGGAGGGTGGCTCGTTTTCAGAATATGGCTCTAGCCTTAGCGCCGCACACATTCGTTTTCAATTGCAACAGTGTGGAAGATGGAGGGAATATGTCGGGTCGGGCGAAAGGGGGGGATAGCAAAGGGGGGGGTTGAGAATCAGCTCACGTAGCTGATTCTCCCGGCGCCTCCCGGCGCCGGAGGCGGCTATGTATCGAGGAGTGGGCCCCTCGGTGAGGCCGAAACCAGCTGCATGCAGCAAATTTCGTAACCCCCCTTTCCCAATCCCCCCTTTCGTCCGGCCCGAATATGGCTCTCGCCGTAGCGCTGCGGGCATTCGTCTTAAACGTTTGCAGCAGTTTTAGGGGTCCGTGTGGTTGAAGCCCCAGGGGCGCATTCTGGCAGGACTTAGGGCTGTCGGGGCGCAACAGCTGCCCTCATCCGCGGCGTTGAAGTCCCAAGGATAGTGTTCTGGCACGATTGACATGACAAACTGCCAGGACGCAACAATCACATCGATCCGCGGCGTTGACGTCTCAAGAATCGTGTGCTGGCACGAGTCGGGATTCTCGCACGGCTGTCTCCAACGGGTCACTTCCTGCAGTGAAGCACATTCTTGTAGTGACCCATGAGGAGGAAGCTGGGAGGGAGGGTTTATTGCAACATCGTTGATGCTTCTTGGGTTTACATCTGTCCTCCTCCTCCTCTTCATTATCCCTGCCCCTGCATGCTCCTCCCCTCGTCCGCCTCCCCCTCCCCATCTCCTTCTCCATCTCCTCCCTCTTACTCCTCCCTCCCGGGCGTCCCGTCTCACCGGCGCTCCCGAGAGAGCCGAAGTTCTCGCGTGCCGTAGCTCCAGGCCTGCCCTGCGAGCTTTGCGAAATCCCACGGCGGCGGCCAAGCCGAAGGCCCACCAGGTGGCGCCCAGTGCTGCAGCCGCTCGGAGCCCCGGCCGGGCGCACCGTGCTGCGACGGCGCGCTCGAGAAAGCTGCAGGAGCTCGGCGGCGCGCTCCGGGCCTGGCTTCGCCCTGAGCGCGCGGGCAAGGTCGTGCAGCTGCCCCTGGGGAGTTCGAGGGGGCGTCCTCTTGCCGTTCCACCTTCTCCCCCCCGCCCGGTTCTCATCCTTCTCCTCTTGCTCCTGGCCCTTCTGCTCCTTCTCCTCCTCCTGCTTCTCCTCCCACCTCCTCATCTGGTGCCCCGATCTCTGCCTGGAGCCGCAAGTAGAACTGGCCAATGGCTCGGCCACCCGTGGGCAAACTCAACCAAGCCTTACGAGATACACCTTTATAAGCAGCTGCACGGAAGGCGAAATTGAAACCCAGGTCTGGGCAGCACACGTTAATGAAGTGACCTGCGTTGCAGCATCCCTGCCAGCGAGTGCCCCCGCTGCAAGCATACTTTTAGCAACGCCATGCCTGGACTGAGCAGTTCGTGGCGCTACGATCGATGACATTTTGGTAAGCGGGCCACGCGTAGACACGAGGAGTGGCTACCCGCTCTCCCCCTAGTGTGCCGCGCAAATGCACTGTACCAGCGTTCGGCAAGAAACTGCAAGTGCTCGACCGAGCCGCTACTGAGCCGCCACTGTTTGTAACAGCACGCCAGCCGAGGAAGTCGGATCTGCCCATGTCTGAGGGGGCGGAGAACATCAGGCGCGCATGAACATATACGAGAGAGAGAGAGAGAGAGAGACTTGTTTGCTGCTTTTTTTTCCCCCATATCCTAAGGATTGGGGTTCTTGTTATTACTCTGACGCCTCCCACTGCTCCTCCTTCCTCCTTCCTCCCGCTCGCGCCTCCCTCCTCCCAATGATAATCACCAGATAAGACAAGACAAAATAAGATAGAGGGAGCCTCATGGTCACAAAACGCTGCCAGGGGCATCATTTGGGAGCCCCAAGGGGGAGCCACCCTGGCTGATCTCACGAGCCCGTTCGCGCCGATTTTGGTGGGACGTCTCAGCTAAAATTGCCGTTTGGCCTCCCCAACATGTCTCTCTTGAGAGCCTCATGGTCACAAAACGCTGCCAGGGGCATCATTTGGGAGCCCCAAGGGGGAGCCACCCTGGCTGATCTCACGAGCCCGTTCGCGCCGATTTTGGTGGGACGTCTCAGCTAGAATTGCCGTTTGGCCTCCCCAACATGTATCTCTTGAGAGCCTCATGGTCACAAAACGCTGCCAGGGGCATCATTTGGGAGCCCCAAGGGGGAGCCACCCTGGCTGATCTCACGAGCCCGTTCGCGCCGATTTTGGTGGGACGTCTCAGCTAAATTGCCGTTTGGCCTCCCCAACATGTCTCTCTTGAGAGCCTCATGGTCACAAAACGCTGCCAGGGGCATCATTTGGGAGCCCCAAGGGGGAGCCACCCTGGCTGATCTCACGAGCCCGTTCGCGCCGATTTTGGTGGGACGCCTCAGCTAGAATTGCCGTTTGGCCTCCCCAACATGTCTCTCTTGAGAGCCTCATGGTCACAAAACGCTGCCAGGGGCATCATTTGGGAGCCCCAGGGGGGGTCCACCAGGGGCTTCATAGTCACCAAACGCTGCCAGGGGCAGCATTTTGGCTTCCCAAAGAGGAGTCGACCCGGGCCTCCTAGTCGCCAGACACTGCCAGGGGCACCATTGGGATTCAGACTCGCACCCAGACTCACTCATACACAAGCTCACTCACACTCAGATTCATTTCTTCAGAGTCAGGCACACACAGACGTACCCATACTCAGACTCACCCACACTCAGGCTCACCTAACCCAGACTCCGTCAGAAGCCAGTAGCGAAGAGAGCAGAGAGGAGAGAGAGAGAGAGAGAGAGAGAGAGAGAGAGAGAGAGAGAGAGAGAGAGAGCGGGAGAGACCGGACAAGTAGGCGGACCAGGGTCCGTCCGCGAGGCGCACTGCGGTGCGACAACCCGCAAAACACTATTGGCGGCGGTGCAGCCTTAGGATACGAGGGCGGGCAGAGACCCCCTCCCCCGGCGCATTGCGTCTGAAGCTACGGACGGCGGACAGACTGTGAAGATCTCACGTGTCAGACCGCGTGACGAAGAAGGCCCCAACAAGAAAGGCGACGTGCGGACACGTGGCTAGGCGGCTTGGCAGACCGCCAGTTGGGCGCTTGGCCGCAGCGCGGCGCGCAGGGACGGGGCACCCCCCGCCCCCACGCCCTGACACCGTGGACGCGGGGCCACGCGTGCACACGGGCAGGCAGAATGGCGGAGATTAGCGCGGGGCTCCAGGCGGAGCGTCGCGGAGCGATGACAGCATAGCATGGAGGGTGAGTGGCGGCGCAGCACCATCGGGCGGGGGTGTAAGCAGCTCGGCGAAGGCTCGACCGGCGCGGTGGAGGCGCTGGAGCAAAGGGCCTTGACGGGCTTGGGCAGCGGCAAGGTCGGCGGCGAGAGCTGCGCACCTCTGCTGGAGAGCGGCCATAGACTGGGACAGCTCGGCTTCGCGGTCGGTGCGGGGCGGCTGCTCTGTGCCCGCGGCCGCAGGCCTCGCGGCGGGGACGAGGTCATCGGTGCGCCTGGCCAGGTGGTGGACCAGCGCAGTGCGGCGGTCCGTGCGCTGGCGGCCGTCGCCGCGGCGAGGCGACTGGAGGGTGTCGCGCGGTCCCAGGGCTGAAGCCGCTGGGGCCACGCCCCATGAGGACGGAGGAGCCGCAGCCTCGCAGCCTGCAACAGTAGGAGCGTGGACGGGGCGCGACGGTCTGACTGGCTCAGTGCCCTGCGGGGGGGCTGAAGCCGCCCCCGCGGGCTGGCGCTGGTGGGGGGACGGGGTTGGTGGCACGGAGGGGCCAATCATGATGCCGTGCGAGGGCTCAGAGGTCGGCCGCGTGACCGGGTGGCGACTCGATGAAGCGGCATCGTCGGCAGCGTGGGGTGTCGGCGGGACGTCGTCTATGCTGCCACCCAATCCGAGGGGGTCATAAAAGTCCTCGTCGGCGTCTTGGAGGTGAGCGACGTCATCATGTGGGTGCGGTGCCGCTCTCGGTGGCGGAGTCGAGGTGGGCGTCGTGCGGATGCCCGACGGGGCAGGGTTGGCGCTGGCTGGCCCGTCGTCCAGGAAGTCTAGTCCCCCGCCGAAGCCGAACGGGTCGTCCTCCTGTTCGTCGTACATCGCCCGTTGTGCCTCGGCCCAGAGCTCGTCAGGGTTCTGCGGGATGTCTGGTCCAGCCGCAGGTGGTGCCTGGTCCGACAGCAGGGGGTTTGGTTCCATTTTGCTGAGTTCAGCCGCTGTAAACCCAGCCCTGCGGTGTGGGAGCGGCAGAGTACGGTGTCTGCGCTCGTAGATGGCGACAGCGACCCCGTGGAGCACGGTCGCTTGGCGATGTCGTGTTTTGGCAGCTTCAACGATGTCGTCGGAGAGGTTGTGCGTGCGTGCCGCCGCTGTGGCAAGGGCGTCGGCCTGACGGTTGAACTCCTCCGCGATGGGCCCGATGAGCCCACGGTCGATGCCCAGGTCTCCCAGGTGGCTGGCGACTTTTTCGACGCGAAACATGTCGGGCTTGGCCATGACACATCTGTGAATCCTTGCCCAGAGCTCCGCGTGCGTGCCCTGCGGCGCTGGATGTCCGTCGATGATGCTTTGAAACCCATCGACCACCGCCTGGTTGTCCACGAAGACGTGCACGGGCCGTTCGGCACACGCCGTCAGGTGGACGATGGCAAGGGTCTCCGCAACCTGGGCGTTCTGCGTTAGGCCGTGAACGCGTGCACTGTAGTTCATGCGGTGGTCGATGCCGTAGTAGACGCCGTAGCCCGCTCGTGCTAGGAGTGGGATGGCTTGGTTGGTGCACGCACCGTCCGTGGCAGCATAGACCCATGTCCATCCAGTGTCGTTGTCAAGGTAGGTGGTGTAGGTGTCCTGGGCTGAAGCCGCAGGATCACCCTCAGGGGGGGGCCGCGGGATGGGCTGTGGCAGCGGGTCCCTCGCGAGGTCGGCCTGCAGGTCGAGGAGGGCTGGGTCTTCGTCGAAGAGCCCGCAGTGTCTTGTGTGCGGCGGAAGACGGGCCCACTGGTCGTCACTGATGAGGGTGGTGAGAGGAACTCTTTCTCGGGCCCAGCACTTACAGTCGCGGACAGTGTGCTCCTGAGTTTCCTCTTCCTCGTCGCAGTAGCGGCACATGGGGCTGAAGTCTGCCGACGTGTTGGATCGGGATCGTCGCTGTTGGGTGTGGTCCCCGCCCGACAGGTAGTTTAGGAGGAGCGCCAGCTGCCAGGCAGTGCATTTGGCTGCTCCTTTGGTTCGGGCGAGCCACGTGCTGGCGAAGAGGTCAAGGCCCTGTCTGACCGAGGCGAGGTAGCCAAGGTCGTGTCGCCGTGGCTTGATCTTGCGCAGAAATGCCCTGCGTTGTGAGGCCCGCAGCATGTGCAGGAAGGCGTTTTGGGGTAGATTCAGCCAGCTGATCGGGCAGCCCCAGTCATCGTACATGATGCCAAATGTGGGCCAGGTCCATCGGAGCTGCTGGAGCGACTGGACGAGTCGCCCGACGGGTCCTCCACCAAACAGGGTCTGGACGTGGTGTTGGAGGTCTCTGGCGAGCCCGCAGAGTGTGACGTCGCGGTTAACCTGACGCCGCAGGCACAGGAATGCTTCACGCTGCGTGATGGCGTCGATCTCAAGGGCGTGTCCCGGCACGCACACGGCCATGAGAGTCCAGAACTCGACCCACTTGTTCCCCTTGGGGCGTATAGCCGCCTTGAGGGCGTGGTTGTAGGCAGTCTTGGCTGGGCCTGATGGTGCTTGGATGTCGGTGCCCGTGGTGCAGACGCTGGCGGCCAGGGATCGGGCGTGCCGCGCCTTGATAAGCATCGGCGACGGGAGCTTGCCAATGCGCGGCAGGCGGATAGTCGCCCTCCGCACACGGGCGTCTGCGGTGGCCGTGAGGTTAAGCGCGGCTGGAGCCGGCGCTGCCTCGGCGTTGATGTAACTCCCGACGAGCTTGAAGGAATCGACCACTCGGAGGGGGCGATCCGCCAGTGTGAGCTGGGTGACGGCGGCGTGCAGCTCATCGGTGAGCGCCCACCCTGCCACTTTACCAGGGTGAATGCGTTGACCGGAGAATCAGAGAGAGAGAGAGAGAGCAAGAGAGAGAGAGAGAGAAAGAGAGGAAGCGAGAGAGAGGGAGAGGAGAGAGAGAGAGAGAGAGAGAGAGAGAGAGGAGAGAGAGAGAGAGAGGGAGGGGGAGTTGAGAGAGGAGACAGGCGAGAGAAAGAGAGAAGAGAGAAGAGAGAGAGAGAGAGAGAGAGAGGAGAGAGAGAGAGAGAGAGAGAGAGAGAGAGAGAGAGAGAGAGAGAGAGAGAGAGAGAGAGAGAGAGATAGAGAGAGAGAGAGAGAGAGAGAGAGAGAGAGAGAGAGAGAGAGAGAGAGAGAGAGAGTGGAGAGAGAGGGGGGGGGAGAGAGAGAGAGAGAGAGAGAGAGAAGAGAGAGAGAGAGAGAGAGAGAGAGAAGAGAAGCGAAGAGAAGAGAAGAGAGAGATAGAGAGAGAGAGAGAGAGCGAGAGACGAGAGAGAGAGAGAGAGCAGAGAGAGAGAGAGAGCGGGAGAGAGCGAGGGAGAGCGAGAGAGAGCGAGAGAGAGCGAGTGAGAGCGAGAGAGAGAGAGAGAGAGAGCGAGAGAGAGCGACAGAGAGCGAGAGAGAGCAAGAGAGAGCGAGAGAGCGAAAGAGAGAGAGAGAGAGAAGAGAGAGAGAGAGAGA